CGAAAATAAGACCTACCCCAAAAATAAGCCTTAGCAGGATTTCTATGCATTTGTGGTATAAGCCCTAGTGTGTCTTCTTGAGAAAAAATAAATATAAGACAGTGTCTTATTTTCGGGAAACAGGGTAGATCTCCTTGTATTTCTTCCCACAACGAGCATTACTCCTAGTTAAATATAAATATATATGTATACAGAGAGAGACTGTGGCACAAACCACACTACCCCATCAGTAGCAAAGCTATTTCAGATTCTTTTCTGAACTACCTAAGGACCGCAAAATCCCAAATGTGCTTCCTTGTATTTCTTCCCACAACGAGCATTACTCCTAGTTAAATATAAATATATATGTATACAGAGAGAGACTGTGGCACAAACCACACTACCCCATCAGTAGCAAAGCTATTTCAGATTCTTTTCTGAACTACCTAAGGACCGCAAAATCCCAAATGTGCTGAATTTCTTCTTGCTGATCATAACAAGGCGGGACAGGGGGGTACATTGCCAGGGTGAGCTCGCTGGACAGGACAGGACACAGACCTTGTGGTTGGCTCTGTCAGTGCCCCCTTGCCAGTTCAACGACAGTATGTTCTTCGATTGCTGGTGATGACTCCGTTTGGTTTTTAGTCGGCCAGCAACAAAAGGTGACTCTAATGCTTCCTCGGCATTGTTCTCAACCTTCTCTTCCTGAGGGACGGGACGAGCCCCACCTTGGCACACCAACCAGAGCTCGGCGCAAACGTGTTCCCGTCCTTCCAGAATGCAGGGAGGGAACTGGAATCTGTCACTGGGCCGCCTTCCCCCACTGACCGACCTCTCCCGCGACTCTCCTTTTCTCTCGAGTCCTTCGCCTCCAGCAAGACCCGTCCTGCTAGGACCCAGAGGAAGAGGAGCCGGGAAGAGGGCGGTTCTTTCCATTGACGGCGGCGCTTCTAGCTGGCGTGATGTCATAGAGGCAGGGCTGGTTCTCTCGCTCGTGGATGCTGCTGCTGCTGCTGCTGCTGCTTATTGTCACCAGTCGTTCGGGGAGAGAGAGAGAGAGAGAGAAGGAGAGAGAGGGGCGATCGGGCGGCTTGTGTCGCGGGAGCAGCAGCAGTGCGAGAAGAGGCACAGCTGCAGCATCTGGAGCGGCGACGCGGGGCTGTGGCCACTGCAGCCGGCAGGAAGAAGAGATGCGGCGGTCTCGGTTTAAGGGCCCCTGCGAATCGTAACTCTTGCAAGAGCCAAGGTGAGGGGAGGGAGGTGGCGGCGGCTGCCAGAAGTCACGCCCCAAAACACATTATTCCTGGTTAGGTGGCTGGATTTAGATTCCTGTCCTCCTGGTGCTGGCTTTTTCTCTGGGGCACGGGACTGGGGGGAGGAAGGTAGTTTGGTGGAGTTGCTCGGAGGAGTGTGAAGGAACCGGGGAGGGAGCGGACTGCTTGCTTGGCGCTTGGGCTATAGCTTGCCAGTCCAAAGACAGGCAAGCATAAATCACTTGGTGAAAAGTGAAGCCACTCTCTTTCTGGAGGAGGTGGGCGGAGGAGGAAGAGGGAAGGGGCACGCCTTGCAGAGCCTTTATGGTTAACTGCAATGATCCGGCCGTTGCTAGTGTACACAAGTTCGGCTTTGTCCTCTCGAAGTGGGACGGCTCCCCTGTGTGGGAGTCTCCATCACTTCCTTTTCCAGTAGCTCAAAGTTAAGCTTGTAGGTTCAGCGGTATATAAGAAAGAAAAGTGGAGGGTTATCACAAAACTCGAACCTTGAGGAACTGCATTCTTAGACATTCTTGAGGTTTGCAGCCCTGCTCTGGAGCAGACAGTTTTAAAAGAAAATCTCTCTTCCGCTTTCTCACAGGCACCACTTCTTCCTCATGGCAGACTTTTCTTTCTTTCTTTTTTCCCCCCAGTAACTATCCTTTGCCGGCTTTTCTATTCTTACATCTGCCAAGCATTTTGAACGTTTGTAAGGTGTTTTCATGCATTCTTGTTCAACTGCTCACCCCTCTGAGCTCAAGTAGATTTGTATTTGATTTACATGGTTGTCTTTTCTGGTTGGAAATCAACGACTTCTCAGTGGGATTTCTCCTCACATGAACGGTCTTGCAAATAGTTTCATGGGTTGGTCATGATATAATAATCTCTGAAACACCTTCAAAAGTGGAATGGCCTCAGAACAGTTAGATTCGAGTCCGGTAGCACCTTCGAGAGCAACAAGTTTGTACCCTGAAAATAAGCTGGGAAGAGGATACCCCGAAAATCTTGTTGGTCTGTAAAGTGCGACTGGTCTTGAATCTAACAGGACAAACAGTGCCACACTTGTTCTTCCCTCCTGTCCTTTCAAATGTGTGGTGCCCTTAGATCCAGTAACACCACCTTCCACAGAGATCCGGCTCACAAACTGAAAATTTTGACAAGGTTCATTCCTCAAAATTTGTCATATGTTATCTTCATCCTGTGTTAACTGGATCTTCAGAGCTTGCATGCAGCTCTTCAACTCAGATTTCAAAGACTGATAATCTGGAAGCAATCATAATCCCATTCCCAGTGGAAGGGGGTCAGTATCAAAAGAACAATTTCCATGCGACACAGTCTTGCTTTACTACTGTTGATTAACAATGCCCCTCATAAATGGAATTACACTCTTTTAAGTCAATAGATTTGGAAGACCATGACTCTGCTTAGTGACCCCACTCAATTATCCTGATCCTGAAAGTGGACATTCATGCTTGTAAATAGTACTGGAAAATCTCCCTCTTTAGCTCTTCTTAATTACATTGTTATGGGGTATAGTATTCTTTGTTATGTTTGAGAAATTCTGGAACCAGTAACCTAATGAATGAACCTTCTTTATTTCATGATTGAAAAAGGAAGAGGATGCTGTTGTGTTTTTGTAATGTGCCAGGAGAACTTTGCCTAGGGGTGATAAACTCTTCCACAGTCTTAAACTCGAGCAGATTCCCAGACTGAACAATGGCGTGGTAGATGTGGCACACACTGAGGCTGGATGTAACTCTGGCTCATTTTGCCAGATGCCTTGCAGTTTGACTAACTTGTGATGAGATCACCTTCTAATCTTGGGATCTAGTCCTGCCATGGGAGCCTCGGCTATTTTTGTGAGTTTTTCCTCTTTCTTTCGTTAGGGTTATATGAAGAATTACACATGCCGTGAGAAGACCGATACAAATAAAAACAACCCAGCCTGAGGAAGAAGTAAAAGGGAGATCCATTTGCAGCAGCTGACCTAATGTTAAGGGACTTTCTCCTGCCCATCATGGAAGCAGATGGCTGGGGATGGCTAGTGGCCCCAGTTCAGCAGCTGATATCCTGGGGTGCATCGGCAGCCATGGTGTTTGGAGGTGTGGTGCCCTACATCCCTCAGTATCGGGATATTAAAAGGACACAGAATGCAGAGGGCTTCTCAACCTACGTGTGCTTAGTGTTACTAGTTGCAAACATTTTAAGGATACTTTTTTGGTAAGTTGACTGGCTTTTCTAAAAATATGAATGTTTTTCTTCGTTTTACCTTTCGTGGAACATTGACATGAAGATACTGTGAATGAAATATGCTTTTGATGGGGTGCACAATTAAACTCTTGTGTGAACAAAGGAAAGTGATTTGGGCTGCTGCATTATGTTTATTGTGGGTTTCTGTGTTTGTCTTTAAAGACAAACAGAGCATATTTCAGATTAGTGAGGATGCTTTGGACAAGCCCCAGATAGTGGAGAAATATCTCTTTTTGTTCTCCAAAACTGTGGTACTACTTGAAGTCATGTTGAGGCTGTTGTATCAGAAAACTTGTGCAGCCCTGAGCTGCTGGATAGGGCAAAAATAAGCCTGAATAGCTAAACAGGTTTTGAAGTTTGCTGTGGAGCCCCTTACAACAATGGGGTCTAACAATTTTGGAAAACTGAACCATAATAATAATAATAGCTGTTTTTATGCCCTGACCTTCACTACCTGGAGGAGCCTTGGAACAGCTTACAATCTCCTTCCCTTCCTCTCCCCACAACAGACACCCTGTGAGTGGGGCTGAGAGAGAACTTGGACTGACCCAAGGTCACCCAAGCTGGCTTCATGTGGCGTAGTGAGGAATCAGATCTGGTTCTCCAGATTCGAGTCCTGCTGCTCTTAACCACTACACCAAACTGGCTCTAAGAAAGTTCTAGCACCCTCCAAAGCATATTCCATGCTTGAAACTAGTAAGCATGAAGGCATGAGGTGGGAATTAGGGGATGTTTCAAATAATGTAAACTTTCTACATGGAAGAGACATAAAATGTGTAGTTTTCACCTTAATGTCTCCATATAAGTTACTCTCCATAGAAGTTAGAACATAATTTCTTCCATCTGTGATCAACTTGGGTTTCTCAGAACGCCTGTACTGACATACACACAGTAAAAACACTGTGTATATATCAACCCCACATGATATCTACAGTTGGGTATTGTGTTAATTCTTGCATAAAGGTACTTAAACTGTATGCTGGTCTAAAGACCATTATAAACAAACAAACAGCATAAAGGTACATTCTTTGTAGGATTTATGAGCAGCCTTCATTAAATACCTGCTTTTTTGCAGTAGCTTTATGGTGTAGTTTGGTGTAGTGGTATAGTTTGGATTAGCGGTTAAGAGCGTGGACTCTAATCTGGGAGAACCGGGTTTGATTCCCCACTCCTCCACGTGCAGCTGCTGGTGTGACCTTGGGTCAGTCACAAGTTCTCTCAGTGGTTCTCTTAAGAGCAGTCCTCAAAAGAGCTCTCTCAGCTCCACCTACGTCACAGGGTCTCTGTTGTGGGGAGAGGAGGGGAAGGGAAAGGAGATTGTAAACTGCTCTGAGACTCCAAGTGAAGGGTGGGGTATAAATCCAATCTCTTCTTCTTCTTCTATATTATCATAATCTCACATTACCTGTGGGACAGGATCCCTGCCTGACAGTACACTGTTAGTTGCACTCTGGCTTTCAATAGTGGAGCAGTTAACAGAGAGAAATAATATGATGTTTTGGTTCCCAGTCTAAACATTATTACCAATTTTTAAAAAGCCCAAATTCCTAGAAGATTAAATGATGTCACACCTCCTTGCTAGCAAAATGATCTGCATTAGGCTTGTTTTCTCTTATCAATTTCATGACAAATGGATTGTTAATCAGAGAACACATATGTTAGTTTTCGCAGGATCAGGATCTAAGAAAACTTTTGCTCTTTGTTTCATATTGCTTTATGCTCTGTTCCTGAAATAGTCTCTTGCTTTGTTTTATTCTGCTTCCATTGTGGTTGCTGTCCATAGAATGTGAAAGTTCTGGCACATGTTGGAAGGTTAAGCTTGTAAGGAACACAGGAAATCTCTGAGGCTGTCCTCTTATGGCTCATCTACACAGCCTTATTCTATAAATCTCTTAGTGCAGTCATTGTGTGACCCAAGGTACCACTAACCATTACCACTGCTTTAGAGATTCTGGCTTGACACTCTTCTGCTCTTCTTAGCACAGGCAGTAGTCTCAATTATGCATAGTAGTGTCCATGCACTACCACATTTACAGCATGCATCACTAATTGTGGCCAGTCCCATACAATACGTGTTTTGCTGTGGGATAAACCGAACTGGCCCTGTCTTATGGACAGATCAAACAGAGATTGATGAATCTCTCAATTCAACCTGGAAAGCCAGGAGAGCATATTATCCTAGTATTTCTGTCTCTATGCTTGCTTTGTCTGCATCCAAACCGTGCCTTGCTGGTGGTAGGCAAAGTCAGTAGACATGGGCATCAGGACCATCTCCTAAGGAACCACAAGTCCCTTTCTCACACTCTATCTCCTTTTAACCACAATGCAGTAGGAAAGCTTTCTGGTATACTACCAGCTTAAGCAGTCATCTTATATCAATGTATCCCAGCACTGAAAGGAGACACAGGGTTTTAATGTTGAGCTTGCCCGATCTATCTTTGTGTGATGAACTCTTATAGGTGATGATATATCACTTACTTTGTGCCCTCATAGACCTGAGGGTGTATGTTCCTAAGTAACCGTTCATTTTATGGGAAGTTAGAGTCCAATGGCACCTTTAAGACCAATAGAGTTTTATTCAAGATGTAAGCTTTCATGTGCGTGCACACTTTGTTTTATTCTGTTGCTTCAGACCAACATGGTTGCCCACCTTGATCTATTTTATGGGAAGGTTAGCCTGGGGAAGGTCTGGTGGGCCAGAACCCCACTGATCAACCTCAGAGTGGACTTCCAACAAGTCATCACGCCTCCGTCTCACGTCTCAGAGTTGGCAATTGGACAACTAGCTCATACTCTGGGAAAGGGCTGATTTTTGGTCTGTGGTCCTGGGACCTTTGTTTACTGATCACTAGTGTATGGAGTCCAAAAGTATAATAATTAATGCAGTTGGCTGGATATATAAGAATTTGCAGTCTAGCAATCATGCTGAAGTTTATAGAGTAGTTTGCCTTACCATAATTTGGCTTCATGCATTTGTCAAAGAGGATTATATAATTTTCCTGTTCATCTGTGTAGTGTTAGAGGGACAGAGATGGGATGGGACAAATTTAGAGTCCAGTGGCACCTTTAAGACCAACAAAGTTTTATTTAAGATATGAGCTTTTGTGTGCATGCACACTTTTTCAGGGCAAGGTAGAGCAGACTATTAGCACATAACTCTTTAACATGTGGTAACTTGTGGTTGGAAATTTTAAAAAGAGGTGGTATAATGATAGATCTGAGATGATCTTGTGTTTTTAAGGCGATTTTATGAGTCTACAAATATTTGTATGAGAAGTTACAGCTCCTTAGACATCTGACATGTCAGCCTGGTATATATTTAAAATTTTTACTCTGAATATATTTTACATTACAGTGAAAGAGTTGCACTATAATGTATTTAAAACTGCTGTTTCCCTCCCTAGATCAAGTTATTGCTTAAGATGTGTAGCTTGGTTTTATTGCAGTATTAACATTTGTCATTTTTACCACTGGTATTTAATGGTATTTGTTGTGTTGTTTGCTGAAGAAAACTACTATTGCTGTGCTCATGTCCTCTCTTGCTGAAAATGTGTAAGCCACAAACCTGAAGAGCTCAAACCACAAAAGGCACATATAGGCACACTTTAAAAAACAATGCTGTTTAATCTGATCTCACTGTTTCTAATGTATTTTTTGCTATTTTAAGTGGGCAGTTTTACATAATTCTTGCTGTAGGAGGTGCTTCAAGAACAGCTTGTCATCTTTAACTTTTCTGATTTGTTTTACTGTCACCCAAATTCTCAGCAATACGTTTTTGAGTAGTGTGACTTCTAACCCGGAATACCCTCTTTTACAGCTATGTATTCCAATGTGGGATTCTGGGGCAGACTGAAACTTTTATTCTGTTGTTTCTGTCTTCGCACAGAGGCAGGCATCTTGTCTATGCCCTACATATCCCATACTTCTAACCTAGCATTGGGCAAGTTATGTATATTTTAAATGTCTCCACACAGTTCCCCGATCATGTCTTCTGAGGTTAAGACACTGGAAGTAGCCTGGCCCTGTCTGGCTTTTTAATTTGTTCTTTGATAACTGCAGACAAGCCAGGCCTGATTCACACTTCACATAGCAGGAGTGACAAATGCCATTACGTGTAATGGGTTTGCTCTGTAATGTGCAGAAATAATAATATTCCATCATCTTCAAATACGCGTTGGTCCCATGAATAATGGGGTGCCAGGTAATCACTGGGTACTACTGCAGTCTTTCTTTGCCAGTGAACTTCCAAGCTCTGTCTTGCTGCTTTCAGTTTCTTCCTGGATAGACCCGAGGGATTTCCATTCTGACCAAGAACTGAATTTTTGAGATCCAGCCAAGCACAGTGAATGCTCTCATCTCTCTTTTCCCTTTAGCATGTTATCGAGACTTCTCAACATAACCATAAAGAAACCATGTATTGATTCCTTTTTCCCTTTAGCATGTTACCGAGGCTTCTCAACATCAGTGTTCATAACCATAAAGAAACCATGTATTGATTGATCCACAAATCTTAAGCAGAAGAACACTTCCCACTACTGTTTACTAGTGGCCATTTTGATAGGGCTGCTGCAAAAGCAGGAACTTGGCTAGGAGCCAAAATATGCCTGGCCACCCAAATTCTTCCTGCATTGCCTGAGGGAGGGTCTGATGGCTGCTGCTGCTGCTTGCTTTTCAGTTGTGTGTTCTGTTAGGTTTCCAGTCTCCAGGACCCAGCATCAGCAATTTTCCAGAACGCCCCCCGCCCCCGGGCATGGCAAGGGGACCTGGCAACCCTGTGTTCTGTAGGTCTGAGAGCATTAGCTCATTCATATATTTAAGGCCTAATTGGGGTTGTTTCCACACCAGTCTGTTTTCTCTACAATCAACACATCTCGTTTCATTATCTCAGCTGTTATGGAGAATGTTGTTGCTGTCAGGCAGTTATAGTCCAGTGTTTTCTATGTTGTTTCTCCCCCTGCCATCTTTTTCAG